AGGTGATAAATTTACCCTCAATGAAGAGAAATGCCTTCATTCATTACATGCAATATTATTAATAATTCTCTAACACATGAGTAAAATCGCAGAATATATTGCATTACCTATACCTACCTGCATTCTATCCACAGAACAATTGCTGTTTCATTCTATAGACCCGTGGTCCTCAAGCTCGGGCGTTCCATTACCCCCTTCAATGGTCTGGCAGGTCGTCATTACCCCCCCCCCCGCTACAATAATACTATTTCTATGTATAAGGTCAGAACTAATTTCCCGAGCCCCTCCATTACCCCCTGACACCTCCAAATTATCTAAAAACGAGTAATTTCCTCTGTCCTCTATGTGGACTCCTGCTAGAGACAGAATGAATCAGCAATTATTCGACAACGTGATGACGCGATGGAAACTCGCGAAATATAAAGCTTTCAGTTCGAAAATAACAAATTCGGAATTGACTCCGAACTGGACACTTCAGAAGTAATACCGTAACGACCTTTTGATTAATTAAAAACGATAAAACATGACATATCAATCATAATAATAACTATAAGAGCAGATACAGATAAGAACATTACCTCCTGAATGCTTTGTAGTGCATTTGACAGGTTGCTAAGTGGAAATATTCACGAACAAGCAATTAAAATCAACGACATAAATCACATTCACTTGCAAAACAACAACAATAGCAATAATGATTTTAACGTCGTTAAATGTTTTCAGCCTTCTAAAACTGCACGGCTGGCTTCTAAACCTCACGGTTCAGTTGTTATGATTAGTCAACAAGTGAAATTGTAGTAGTATGCAATCAGCAAGGAATTGCGAATTTGAATCCCTCTTGTAGACTACATTTTCATTCGATTCAAATACCGATAATAACATCAGCTAATGACCACAATTCAATGAAAATTCTCGTAAACAGATATGCGTACACGTACATACAATGAATACAGGGAAGTTCTCGTATCATTCGACAGAAGTTGATGATATTCATTTGTTGATCGCGTCAAGTTAGTTCATTAATATGGCGAACGATACTCTACGGAAACGGTTCGCTATCGAAAACTATTGCTATATTACATGTTCAACTCAGAATACATCTACAACTGCTGTCAACAACGAATGAATTTCACTGAATATTATTAAACCATGATGATGGCGCAAAAAATGCAAAATTTTACGACGAAAAAAGCGATTAAAACCGCAAAATAAAAGCAGCGATTCCTAAATGCAAACATTCCGTACAATACAGTAACACGTTCATATATACGTATACAAAAATGCATTGCAATATTCAATACGATATTCTATAATGATTACTGCTGTTAATCTTATCATGCTTATAAATAATAATACTGATTATAGTACTTAATACTGATTATAAATAATACTGACTGTGGGCAGAAACAAGCAACGAAGCAAACTAGTCAATTGAACAACATATTAATAATGTACTATCAAAATTTCCCAATTCCAAAGTTCCAAGAGACAGGTCCTAGGCATTCTAATTGCGGGAGAACCAAAATCCTGCGTCCACTGAATCAAACGCAACCCAATTTCACTTCTATGCACAACATTAAACTTCCATCCAACTACAAATAATTTCAGCCATTACAAAAAATGACACGAAATAAATAAATATTCACTTAAACATTTACAACTCAAACCTTAATTGATTCAATGAAACCAACTGCAACTATCCACTTATTTCCATTATTCCGTTATTATGCTATCAAAAATCATGCATGCTGCACAATCAGAAACACAGAACTTCTTTCGAATCATAACCAAAATTTTAAATATGCAAAATCCTTGAACCATATCATATATCATCAGCAAATTGTCATATTATAAATCTACTTTCATACGAACAGGCAATATGGTTCATTGTATCATATAAATAAACAAACAGATGAAGATGAATAATTGACTGAACAATAAAAAACACTCTCAGATCTATTCCTGCTCTTTGCTCGTCCTAAAATCCATATTGAAAAACGAGTACAACGACTCGGCAAGGACCGTGTTACCAACAACCGAAGTGATCCGTTCAGAATCCGCATTGATCACGTCCAGGAGGCATTTCGCCTCTTGTGCATTCAGCATCATTCTTTTGATGTCACCTTGTGTCATTTTTGGTAGTTTCATTAGTTGACGTTGTAAGGCTCGATTCAGCTGACGTTCAGTTGGTTTCGTTGTTGATGAAGTGGATGATGACTGCTGTTGAGCTGACTCTGCGGTTGCTGCTTCTCCTGAAATTATTCATAATAAATAAGGCATCATCTACCAATTGAATCGATATTTGAACAATTTACCCAAGTGTATACCTTGATCACTTGGTTGATCAGTTTGCAGATCAACCCTCTCGTCTTCATCACCTCGTATCGATACGGCATGATCAACATCTGGATTCGGCTGATTCAACTGAAACAATCCAACTGATTCACCCGTTACAATTCCATTTCATTATCAATCGTTCGTTTATCAATACTATCAGGTGAATTGAATTGAAGTCACTTAAAATCGCCTAAATTCAAGAATTTTCTTGAAGAAAACACAAATATGCGATTAATAAAAACATTCTTCAATACAAAAACCTTGAACTCCTCGAACATTTCGGCCGATTGTGTCGGATTTATGGTCCAAACAATATGCATTTTCGGATAAGACCATATCAGAACCGTAAACAGGAAACGTATCTCTCGAGCACGCTTACTCAATTCACCCTTAACAATCTTGTATTTAGTTTCAAATCCGAATCAATTTTACAATTTCGAAATCAAATCAAAAACTTCAACAACTCGACAACAAAAAAGTTTCAAAATTTCACAATATTTTCCACTAAATTCCTGCTTTAATTCGTCTATACAATCACAGATATGAACATAAATATCTCTAAAATTAATTTCTACTAATTCAAAGAAAAAGCTGCAAATAAACCTGAAAAGGACCGACGTTACCACGTTTTTTACCATCTTTCATATTCGCCTCAACCAACAAAATCACATTTCGATAATGTCTCAACATCTAAAATTTGCACACAAACATCAATATCACATCTGCTATCATATTTATGATCATCAATTATACATTCAAAAATCTATTTCAAATGAATTATTCTAAAATGAACAATTCTCGCCAAATATAATACATTACTATACTACTATCCAAAGATGGCATTATCGCGCTATCGCTAAATATCGAAAGTTGAAGAGCTATTTCGCTAATTAACGGGGGTGAACAGGTATTCCGCTAATCCGCTAACTTTCGCTATTCAGTAACAGCTCTCTGATGCCCATCTCTAATGTCTATTATCAAAAACAATATTACTATGCTATTATCATCACCATTAATGTTCACATTTCCACTGTTCTCACTATCACTATCGTTATCAGTGTTGTTTGCCTTCATTCGCATTCATTCCACTGACGAAAATATTATCAATATATAAGTTAAATATGTTACTATTAATTTGATAAATTAATGTGTACTATTAAAATTAACTATTAAATTAATATTATTAATTAAAATTTCATTAAAAATATAATAAGTTACTAACAACAAGTTGTAAGTTACTCGAAAAGAAATGAAAATATTACGCAAAATTCGTTCAAACGAATGCCATCATAATAGTCACCTGATCAATTTGCTTGAAAACACGTCCACTACAAAGCGATTGTGCTAAATCGTCGAGTGATTTGCGTTCGACCGCTATCTGCGGAGACAACACGTAATCAGCTACTTCCAGAGTGGCAGCTATCACGTCCGTTCCTCGCTTATACACCACTGTTGGCAATTCACTGTTGAACTCACGCATGTCAACAATTATCTGAATTCATCTGATTCAACCCAAACAACAACCCAAATCTCTCTCTTCTACCAACTGGATAGAATCATGACCGGTCAACCCGTCTAAAGACATTTAGACAGATTGACCGGTCACAATTCTATCCAGTTGGTTTTTTCAATGGATATTTACGGTTTTTCAATGGATATTTGGCCTAATAAGCAAACTGTTCCTTATTGTTAGGTAAACTGTTCGTGAGACAAACTGTCCGTTAGGCAATGTGTCTTTAGGCAAACTGTCGTTAAGCTAAATATCTTTAGACAGATTGATCAGGTACCGGATAGAATGGGAGCAAGAGTGGCCTTTACAACTTCTCTGCTTGCAATATATCATTCCAGACAACAGTTCATAATGAGAATGAATCAGATCCTGTATTCATATCTTTCACTGACTGCACACAGAAAACAATGCAGAAGAATGAACTTTGTAACGATTTTGTAATTTCATTGTAGATTCAGAAAGCCATTGTACACTTCTAATGTAAGTTATATGGCAACTTGCTGATTAAAATAAATTACGAATGAAATAACAACAAAACAACCATTACAGTAACAATACGATAAAAATTGCTATCATGAGAATAAAGGAATAAGTCTCTAATAGTAAGGGATTTTGCTTCCTAACTTTAGGCTTCTCTTCCACAGTTTCATCGTTCGTCTTACGCGAATCACGTCCCGATTTTATGACCTTCAATCTCGGTGGTGGCTCTCTTGCTGTATTATATTCACGCGATACTAATAAGGTCTAAAAAGTAAAACAATCATAATGATAATAATACTAGTAATAACAATAATAATAACGGGGACAATAATATTAATAACAAGAATACTAATAACACTAAACAACAACACAGATAATTAGGGTTTGTCGGAGAAGGGAGTCCCGCATAGGATCCCTCGGGCAGCCGGGCATCCAGGCAATTAATCCCTGACTTTTTAGTCAGAACCTTCCCCCCCCCCCCGTCTACTTTCTACCACTACGTAGTTCCCCCGGCGAAAAGTCGCTCCCCAACAAACACTACATATAATACAATGACCAATGACAGTAAGTGGCCAATGTTGAAGGCTAACCCCTTGTTGACGAATCAGTTCCTCAAAGGCGAGTTGCTCTCTCCTCAACGAGCACAGATATCGCTCCTCTTCATTCGACTGACCGTACATTATAACGTAAATGCGAACTTCACGTTCCGGTTTACACGCTTTATACATCTGCATATTCATTTATTCAAACTTCTCAACAATACTGTTGTGTACCACTTCAGATGGCATCTATCAATTTCATTATCATTATTACATTACGATCATTATCATATTGCCTACAATATACAACTTATTGGCCTGCTCGCCTAGCCAGAAGGGTGGCGTAAAGTGAGGCTAAAACAATGTGTACGGAAACGCGAGCATTGTGGCCATCAACGTTACAAACGTTTGATGACAGCCTGGCCAACCCGGGTAATATTACGATTATTTTATCACTATTACTTTCAATACTTACATGAACACTCTGCTTACGAACTTCAATGGGTGCTCTCTCTCACGTGAGTATCACTTTCAATATCACTTCTAGTATTGCAACTAATCATTCATCAGTGAAACCCCGAAAAAGCACTGATAAAAACTGATAATCACAAAGATCGGTGATAACATTGGTGATAATTCATTAGAATTGAATCGGAACCTCAATCAATCGAAGTGCCGTTAAATCCGCATGTAACATGATGATGATCTCCGGTGATAACGCATCCAAATGTCTCATCAGATTATATCTCCTATCAGCAGCCATTATCACCAATAGAGGATCCTCTTCTTCTTCCTCGTCCTCTTCAACCGTATTATTTTCCATTTCATTCTTTACGTTTCCCTCCCCTTCTTCTGAATTATCCACATCACTTCCATCACCTGTATCCTTCTTTCCCTCTTTGCTTTCCGTATTTCGCGATGATTCCTTATCAGTACTACTGCCATCCTTATCATTTATCTGAAAACAATCCAAGTGATAACTTATAACAAGATGTAAAAGTTGCTATCAGTGAGGACTAACCCATTAAAATGATAATCCACACGAAAATGATAATCCATTTCCAACAATTTTCAACCAATTAATTACTTTTACTCCAACTTTATTATGTCCAGTTATTCGTTTAAGTTTGAGCCTGAGCTTCATCTAAACTTCAGATCAGATCAGTCCTAAGCCCGAGTCAATTTGATTCTGAGCCTTATTAAAACTTCGGACCAGGACTAATTCTAAGCCTGAGTCTGGGTCAAAGCACTGATCTGATCTACCTAGGAATCAAATGTTCATGGCCAAACTTTGAGTAACAAAAAAGCGGCGCTATCAAAACTTTTCATATAACTTACTACGATTTCAATAATGCTCCTCTTTTACAAAACTTACTCCTAATGACTCGAAGATTAATGTACTATAAAATGTTTCTTCTCACTAAGTGATAAATCCTATTTCAACTCAAACTTCACTACAATATGATTTCTTCCTTCAATCACATATTCTCCCTTCAAAACTGAACTGAAAACAAAAATTCAAACATTCTTTCAATGAGTATCATTTGTAATGTATTTGATTTCTATTCCAAACTGAACGCGATCTGCGATCGAGCATAAATGAAATCTGATATATATCAACAATGCGATATTACAGAAGCCAATTCTTTTTCTTCTTTATAAAATATAATACTTTCGTTACGATGATACGACTTATGTTAAGTACAATCGAGCCTCAGAGCGTTATATTCGACAGATGATGCATTTAGAACAGAGATCAACAATCCATTCGAGAAACGCAAAACTCAGTGAGTGACAGCGTTGTATGAAACTTGATATCATTATCAAAAACCAACCTTTCAGAGTACTTTTCATAGAATATGATAACACTACTTCATGAATACATATTTTAAAAGATACACTCTAATACAACATACAACATAATATCTGGTCATCAAGGTATTATTATTACTTTTGTTATCATTATTACTATCATTATTCTTATTCTGATTACAATATATTAATTACATATAGAAGAAACTCACACATAACTCTCATTTAATAAAATTTCTCATATGCATCATTTTCTCTTAAAATTTCATTCTGAAGTAATATTTTTCAATCCATCAAGCGTCACCATAAGAACAACAACATAATTATTATAACACTATAAACTCAAATCTCAAACCTGAGAATCTCAAAATCTGAGAATCTGAAAAACTGAGAATCTAATTTTTAGTTCTGGCATCAATTACCTTAGCGATTCACATTACATTAGCATTCACTCTAGTGAATGTAATGTACAGATACTTACACAGAATACAATTCCTATACGATAATGTTACATTATTTGTTCGATTTAAATTTAAACAAAAGCCTCACAGTGTAAAAATTGCCGCACAATCTATTTGATACCTCAAAATTTATTGGATACATTTTCTTTAAAATATCTGATCACTTGGACTTTGCACTTACCAAATCAATTAGCAACAATACAGAGCAATGCGTTGAGTTTCCTTCAATGAAATAAGTTTAAAGTTATATAAATGAAATGATTTTAACTAATCACTGCATTGATTCCTTTCTATAAAGCGTTATCAGACCCCTGTCTCAGTGGATATGCTGGCTATTTTGGCTATTCACTTCATTCAAAATCGATTTCAAAGTCCAACACGAACATTCGACTTAAACTGAGAGTTCTTCGTTAGCTGAGGGCCACTTCACCTGATAAACGTCACCTAATGTAAACCCCCCAACACTGTGCTAATTTCAGTCCAAATTGTTAGAATGCTATTTGTTATCGATGTTATTCTCTTATTTATATCTCAATTCCAGAGATCACACCAGCATTAGTGATGATGTCATTTCCATATTGCTATCGTTATCAAAATCAGTTGTTAGTATTATTACTTATGATGATGTCATTCGCTACCGATTTACTCTGATCCCACCTTCACAGATATTAGTAATATTACTCATGAGGTCATTACTGCTGTTCTATGTGATCACTGTTATATTATTTTAATTATTACGATCACTAATTATTAATATTACTGCTATCATAAATTCAACGTCTTCTCATGTTTACTTCCAACCTTATAAGAAAAATAATAATTCTGAAAAAATAATGACGAGTGCATACGGCAAAAAACTTGTTTTGGTTGTAACAAGGCCCAACAAACTACCCACTTATCAAAATCTTATAATTCAACCTAATAATTTCCAACGAATATGGTAATGCTCACAACAACTGCAATGTATTCGAATGTTTTTTCATAACATTACTATTATCTTAAATGTGAATGTGTCATTTCAAATGCTCGTTTTTTGTGACAACCTTGACATCTTGTACGGGTTTATCACTACACACTGCTTGCAATTTCTAGCTTTTGTAAGCCTAAATCCGTTGACTTCAGGCCTAATTGTAAGCTAAAGCCTGATTCGTGCACTAGAAGCTACAAATATATCCGTGAGTAGAACGGCTGCATCCATAGATTACCTATCTTTTCGAATTTATGAATATGAGTGATCAGTTTACTCCTTCAAGCGATAGATTTTTCATTTGTAAAACAGTAATTTCGCATCGCTCGCTCGCACGTTCGTTCATAAGCTCATACGTCTAATTTCTTTCCCGTATTGCCTCGAGCATCATCGAACGTGAAAACCGAAGAGAACACTTTTCAATCAATCCTCATCCGTATTCATCCATTAACGTCCCTCTATTCCTCTAAAGTGCTTCATCCATTCACACATATTTTATTTAGAGAAGCAGACACTAGCTTTGAGCTTATATGCTCGTATGCGTTCCTAGTAGAACGCTAGCCATCATGCTGGATAACTGTTCACATGCATTATTCTATATGCCTATCTCGCAACTTAAATTTTCATAATGAACCTCTAAAAGCTTTTCTTTGTAAATGCTTGATCCATTAGGTAAAATAATTTTATTTTGCTAATGCTCAATCATTTTTTGTTGATAATCATTCAAACGTTGAATAAATTTTGTTTTCGTTCAATCTGTTGATTTCAACCTGTCTGTGTTGATTTAGTTGATTAGCTATCAGAGTTCTTTTTGAGGTGATCTCTTCTGAGACATTCAACGATTAACTTTCCTAAGACTCTCCTTTGGCTATCCTTTGAGAACGTATCGTATCATGTCATCATCTGAGACATTGAGAGATCAGCTTTTCTATCATATTTTTTCGATAATAATCTGAGAGAATTCTAGTCTCCGCCCATATCACGTCACTTTCCTCATATAAAATGTGACATCAAACATTCCCTCTCTAGGCTCTAAATTGCAATCCGTACTGCCCTCTCGATGATACGTAGTAATAATGATGATGCAATCATACCGTTATTGTCATTATTATTATCACTGCTATTATTATTAATTTTATTATTATCAATAATTATCACTATCTTTATTATTATCATCATTATTATCAGT